TATAGTGGGCTTTTTAAATTTCTATTATTTCTTTCTACTTTTTTCTTAGAGTTTCCATCTCTCTGCTTACATTGCCTGTCTGTTCTTACATGCTGTCTACGTTATCTATTAGAGTTCTTACTATATCAATCATAATTGTTTCTAAATTCCCAATGTGACCATTCTAACATCTTCTGCCATGTCTGAGTCTGGTTCTATTTGTTCTGTCTCTTCAAACTGCATTTTTTGACTTTTGGTATGTCTCGTAATTTTTTTTCTTGATATCCTAGTACTATGTACTGGGTAAACAGAGATGTTGTAAATAGGCCTTTAGTACTATAGTAGTGAGATCTGAAGGAAATGTTCTATAGTCCTATGATTAGGTCTCAGTGTTGTTTGCTTGGATTATGATTCCAAGCTGATATAAATGTGAAAAATTGCAGAAAATATAATTGAAATGATGTAGGAGCACAGATTCATGTCAAAATGCAGTTCTGATAGTATTTCCTATCAGTTATGCTTCTCAATCTAGCATTATTTTATTCCTTGTCCTATTAACTGCTTTGCTATGGACAATTTTTTAAATTATGCATAATAATTACTATTACTTACATTTGAATGATTACCAAATATATAAGATTTTATCCTGTGTCTCTTAATCTGCTTCCATTCTTTGGAGTGAATTCCTTTTTACTGATCTATTTCTGATTTTGTTTAAAATTATGGCCTATTCTTAATATGCAGTGTAAACAGCTTTTGTTGGAACTGGAAATTGTGCTTCCCAATCCCAGCTTTCCTTTAGCTCTGCTTTCAATTAAAGTTCAATTTCACTCCATTGTTGGCCATATTATGAGATGCACTATATAAAATCTAATTTGCATATACTAAAACATTAGAAGCACACCAGAGGCACTTTTTAGTTATTTAAATTCTAAAATTATTCCCTTATCCCACATCTGGTGGAATCATGTAATGTTCACTTTTTCTTACCCTCTGAAATTCCCCTGTGAGCTGTTAGCATTAGATGAAATCATCCTCAAAGGCTATGAAAAGAACTTTATCAAAGAGTTATATCTCTAGCATCATGCTTTCTTATTTTATTCACACATAAAAAGTCCATATTCACATGTACAATTTAGCTTTACTTATTTCTACAAGCACAATGGCATATTTATACTTAAAAAAAAGTGAGAAGAATCAATGATTTCTTTGGAATTCATTCTCTCTCTCTCTCTCTCTCTCTCTCTCTCTCTCTCTCTCTCTCTCTCTCTCTCTCACACACACACACACACACACACACACACACACACACACACACTGTATATATTCTACCAGAAGGGTTATGACCCCTCTGGTTGCACAAAGCAGAAACTCAACACAAACTAGTTTTAATAAGTGAAAATTCATTGGTTCATGTAATCAGAAAGTCCAAGGACAGATTTTTAGGCATTTATAGATCTAGAGGCACTGGCAACATGCAACATCATACATCAATCCCAATCTCTCTCTGTTCTTTCCTTCATTCTTGCACAAGCATTTGCCTACATGAGGAGAGGATGGCCACCAGCATCTTTGGCTTTACAGTCCCCCAGATTAGTAACCACAGTGAGAAATATTATTTCTTCCTGAAAAGGTCCAACAAAAGTTCTAGGCTGTGTTACATTGGGCAAGTTTGAATCAGGTATTCATCTTGAACCCACCACTGTGGTCAGTGGATGAGACCTACTCATTAAATATACTGAATTATGTGTATCGCCCAGATTCAGGCTCATTTAAACACTTGGACAGAGATCAAGAGAGCGGTAGTTCCCAATGGAAAAATCAAACCAATTGCCAGAAAATGGTGGCACATTATGGGCAGATACACAAAATAAATATCCACTACATTCTCTAGAAAGTTTGGAGAATCAGTATCCCTCCAAACCATATTTGACTCTTAGCCTTCTTACTTAACTACTGTGTTGAAATAAACCAAATGATTCAGTCAGCAAATCAGGTCAGTGAAAAACACTTGAAAACTTGCACTGTGTTGAAATATAAAGACTCCAAATATTTCTCTTTTTAAACAGCCTATTGTCATCATACATACCAATGCAGGAGTTTGCTGCAGTCATCACAATAAGAAGGTAAGCACCAATGAAAGAGAAGGGTTAATAATTCCAGTTGAAGTTAAAGTAACATATTTATTTTAACTATCTTCCAAAAGCCCACTGAAATAACAGTTAAAAAAATTTAAGCACAATCTTCATAGTACAAAGAGAATCATAGAAGAGATGACAGCAAAAAGATTTTGGAAGCTGGAAAAAGAGGGTGGGACCCAGAAGCAAATCAAATCAAAGCAGGATGAATGAGAAGTTTAGAATCATTGAGCAGAGTCTGAGTGGGGCTGAAAGCAGAAGAAGCAGATGAAAGTTAGGTGGAGAAGTAGACAGACTTCTAGACCTGCCTCCCAATTCAGAGTATCTTGGGGAGTGGCCTTACAGCACTCAGGTAGAAGACTGCAGGAGTTGTCTCCGGAGAAGTTGAAGGAGAAAGACTCTGAATATGGGAATATCACACATGGCTGAGTGTAGGAATATAGTTCTGAAAACATGGGGCTTCAGTAGAGGGCTATACTGAAAGGTGAGTCCCCAGTCCTTTCCTTCCAATAATTCTAATTTTAATTTTTTAAATTGAGATATAAATGACATACAGAGTTGTGTAAGTTTAAAGTATACAATGTGTTGATTTGCTACATTATATATTGCAATATGATTATCACAATAAATTTGAGCCTGGATTTCCAAGTTATTATAAAAGTATAGTTGTCAAGGTAGAAGAGTAAAACACATTTTATTAACAATTTGTTGTCTCCGTTTATAATTTTTATGTTTATAGAGATGTAGTATGTGAGCCTCCATTTATACTCTTGCCTTAAGTCCTACAAACAGTTCAAAACAAATAGGAATAAAAAGAACCTTGAGGAGCAGAGCATAAAGAAAAACAAACAAACAACAACTACAGAAAGCCACACTTATGTAATATTCGCATACAGATAGGAGGAGATACTGCCAAGAAGTCTAAAGGAGCTCATCTCCTCCCAGTGACTCTGCCCCTCCCCTGGCTGACTCAGCACCATTGGCTCAAATAAAGAGGGCTCTCAGAGTTTCTTGTGCTTCCTGTAAGAACTTTGTCTCAAGAAATTCCACATGCTCCCATTTGATACCAGCTTCCATACCACCATAGGTGGGACTGGAGAAAGGTCCCACAGGGTTCTGTGTGCTCATGGCAGAAACTGCCTCCCTAACACTGCTCTACTTTTAGGCCTGAGCCTGTATCCTTTGAGAAGAATAAGAACAGAATCTCAACCCAATGGCTCTGTATATCCTTAAACTGGCCCAACCACACTCTGTTCCCTAGCACTAAACCTTCACTGCAAACTCTGGAATATAATGCAGATACAACTTCAATCACCAGCAATTCTTACACCCTCACCTTCTTTTCTGAAAATCCTCTTCACTTCCTGGTCCTCAGAGAGACAAGTCTTCTCCTGAAGCTATAGCTTCCCACATGCCCTTTGCAAATGGTGGCTGTTTGATTTCCCACCTCACACACCAGAGAGCCTGGAGAGAACTGGAGGGAAGGAAGGTCACCCCTCTGCTCCTCATCACTTGCAGTATTATCTGTCTTTCCTCCCTAAAACCCCTCAGTTCCTCTGAAGTTCAAGTATGCACATTCTATTATCCACCATCTTTATTAGACTTCTGTACATCCCTGGGTCGCTTCCCTTCATTCCATGAAGATTTTAGCATCTGGCTTGTGGTCACATTCTCCAAGACTATTCCATTTATAATATTTGGCAATGCCAATATGTAGATGACCTATCTAATAACCTGGCTGCTCTGTTCCTTGAACTGTCCTTCTCCAATGATCCTTTTCTCAGTTCACCTGCCCCTGGAGTCTTTTATTACTATTTTGCATACATGATCAGCTCTCTCATTTTGCCATACTCTTAGCCGAACCCCAGTTCCGACCACTTCACACATGTACCTATGCAATTGAACATGGCTGGAAAAAAATTCAGACAATCATGCCGACTGGCCTTACTTTAAATTTGTGATTAATAACACCATGTGAGCCTTTAATGCTGATGTGCAGGAAGAAAACCCTTCTTTCTTTTTCACTCCTACTTTCGTAGATTAATATTTCATACCTTTTCCTTTTACTCATACCTGCAATAACTCTATCTTCATCCTTACCCTCAGTTTATGTTCTTGCTTCTTATCTCATCAAGTAAATAGAAATAGTAAGAAAAGAGTCCCCGCATGCTACTATTAAAAATCTCCTTGTCTACCTGCATCTGTACCCTCATAATCTGTGTGTACTCCCATTAAAAATGGAAGAGCAGTCCTAGTTTCCAAAGCCAACGCCTTCATTATTTACTGGATTTCTCCACCACCTCTGCTTACTCAAAAACAGATGTGCTGCAACTACCCACTCCTTATACTGCACCATTGATTGTCCCTCTGAAGTGAATCATTCTCACTGGCACTTCTATTAAGGAGGAAGAGGAGGTGGAAAAACAAGAGGAGGAAGAGGCAACAATACACTTGAACTCATATCCATCTCTAGCTATTGTTGCATCATTCTGTCACCCTTCCAGCAAAATCCACAAAAGAACACCTATACAGGCTATATCCAATT